TGGCTATCGAGAGCCCTATAGTAATTATATAGATTTTCATCAAAATGCTAGTCAACAGCGAAGTATCCCGTTTAGGTTCGTGATAATAAAAACCGCATATATTTCAGCAATCAGCTCAAATTGTCAATATGCATTTCCTGGTTAAAAAAGAAATTACACACATCTGTTTTTCTAAATGTTATCTTGCAGATTTCGAAGCTCTTCTATGAACTTTCTGGTTCTAAAGATATAAAATGTTACGTGTTACATTTTTTGCGGTAAATTTCGAAATGCTGCAAATTTGACAGTTGTTCGGTAACAGCAACGAATAGTGGCAAAAGATTAATTTGTTGTTAATGCGCGTAAAAATGCTGCTCTCTATGCAGAATGGTGCGTCTCAAATGGCACCTTAGTCTTTTTTACCGCACGGTATTGTAGATTTTTGGACACAGTGACCACTGCTCTGTTGTCTCGGTATAAGAGGTTTATTATTTTACAAATCACATAATCAAGTACCATTAAAAAGTTTTTTGAAAAGGTTTCAAATGGTATATTAGGTACCACACATGGAGGATAGTACCCCTTACATAGGCGAGTCCATAAATAACTGTGTTGAAATTTTTTGGACGAATCATTTTTTAAGCATCTCGAAATTTTGGCCTTTTTCTCGGCAAAATTGATTCAGAAATAATGATTTTCACGTTTCTTGGGCAACGACATAATGGATGTCAAGATCAATTTTTAGCGCATTACCACAAAAATTAAAAAAATGTGCTATTGTAGCTACTCTGTCTGCCCGTTAGTCCGTCCCTACGGCTGTGTCGCTACTAGATCTTAGGAGTTATAATTTTATACTCTGTTTATTGTGTTGTGCATGCGCAGTACTAACTTTCTTATTTGTGGGCGGATTTTTCTAAAATGTTAAAAGAAAGAAATGAATTAAATGCACATCAAAAAATGAAATGTACATACGCAGGCTAAAAATACGCAAACAATTATTGCGCATGCCCTATCCACATTCGTTATTTGTGAACCAATTCCTTTTGAAATTTTAGCGTACAATTCTTCTTATAAAATGAAATCGAAGTAGCTTGTCAAAAATAGATTGCACATGCGCAACGCTAACTTCCTTATTTGTGGCCGGATTTTTACGAAATTTTAACAGAATCAGTGGCGTACCGGCAGGGAGGAGTGGAGGGCCGGTCCGCCCCGGTCGGCACTGTGAAAGGAGCGGCAAAAATAATAATCATATTGATAAAATGACCAACTTTGTATATATGCGTACCAACCATTTAATGAAACGAAATGTGTATAAGAAAGAATCTTGGGAGAAGAGTTGAAAGGTTTTTTTAACAATATGCATCAGTGTTGCTGGATGCGGAAGAAGCTTTTCAAAGCTCAAATTGATCAAAAACCGACTGCGATCTACTATGAACACTTTGAAGTTGAGCAACTTAGCTAGGTATATTGTCAATCGAGCATACCCTTACCGATGAGATTGATTTTGATCAAGTTGCGAATTTTGCAGCGTTGAAAGCACGAAAAATAAAATTATTTTAAAATTGATTTTAAGTGCATGCGCAAACTCAAGTTTTTTATTTGTCAACAAATACTTCGGAAATTTTGACAGGAGATCTTGCTCAATATTTATTTGATTTTGGGCCCTGGTCTACATTTGAATGCCCTAAAATGTTAACGTTAACCAGCTGCAAAAAATTAAAAAATGGCGGTTTGTCATTGTTTGGTTTATATGGCTGAACATGAATTTGGCTGGGGCAACTAATTCTTTCGGACAATGTAGAAATGCGCTTTCTATGCGCAGGTCAGTACTTTTTGAAAATACGATAGCATTTTACTTACAAATAACAAAATTGATTCTGGGCACAGGGCACTACAAGGCAAATATAGAAGTTGATGAACAGTAAATTATTTTGTGAAAATATTTTTGTTATGGTTTGGATCTCACAAAAGTGCGGACGGATAAAGTGGCTGCTTAGGGTACCCAAAAGGTACTATAATATTGTGGGTAAATTAAATATTTTACTTTATCGAGTCAATATTTTTAAATGTTATAAGCTTGGTTTCGTTATTTTCATGTTCCGTGATCCCTTGCAGATCTTAAATTTAGTCCGGGCATCACATTTTTTTATTAATATTTCTGTCCTTGTCTTGACTTAATCTTTTTAGACAACCCATTTGCAATGTGTTTGTTTCCATATTAAGATTGCTAAAAAATGTATTTCACTCGTTAAACAGATGAGCGAAGGTTGACTTTATATGGGATCTTGTACAGGATGGGCTATAAATATTTGCACATTTGTAATCAGTCTAGCAGGGATACCGCGCGGGGGGACGGGGCCGCTTCCGCGCAGTTCTTCGCTTCTTGAAAATATAGTTGCAATGGGAGAACAACAATAACGTCTTCTTCTCGGACGAAGCTCACTTCGACTTAAGTGACCATGTCAACAAACACAATTGCAGATTCTGGAGCAGAGAACACCCTAAACTGAAACACCAAAAACGTTTGCATTCTCCAAGAGTGATGGTTTGGGTGGTAATTTCTTCAAAGGGCATAATTGGCCCGAACTCGAAAAGGCACGCGGTAATTCTGTAACCGTTAACTCTATAAAAATGCTTCGAGATTTTTTCAACCGCAATTACTGCATTTTGAGGGTTACAACTATAGGACATGGATCCAGCAAGATGGCGCAACCTGCCATCCAACGAGAATTTACTTGTCGAGATGAACTGTTCCCTAACAAAGTGATTGCCCACAGAAGATATTCAGTGGCCTCCTCACAGCCCAAATCGGTCTCCAGCTGATTTTTTCTTAAGGGATTTTCTGAAAGAAGTCGTGTCTACTTGAATAAACCAATAACAATACTCCAATTGAAGGAGAATATTCGTGAAGAAATGGTTAACATATCCGGCGCTGTGTAAGAGTTTACAAAAATCTGAGAACATGGTTTCAGGAATATCAACGGAGTGATATTATTTTATGTAATAATTTGTACTCTTTATTTTGAATAACATATAAATACCATGTATATTTTTCATTTCATGACAATTACAGAAGTGCCCAATTTTATGGCCCACTCTGTACTATCTCTATCCTACTTATACTAATAAGTTTTCTTTCTATTTTACATGGGGGCGTAAAATGCAATTCGCAATGTTTCAGTTTGCAATCGTTTGCAGAAGTTTTGAGGAAGTAAACCCCCAATTTTTTTGTGTTGAGCCTTGTTCAAGAACCATTAATATAGAAATCAGGATGAAAAGAAAAAAATACATTTTAAATACTAACCCTCACTACTGATAGGTAAATAACTTGTGACCAAAGAGGAAAAGTGATACCGAGGATCCCAAAATAACGATAATTTGTAAAAATTTTGGAAATTTTCATTATGCCCACCTACTTCTTTAACTTCATCTCAATGGTAACGTTTATAGCACCAATTTAAATTGTATCTACAACAAATATAAAAAAGTGTAGTACCCATACAAGGGGAAGTACTTGTTATTTCTGCACTGATAAACCATAAATCTATGTTTAAAAACTGTGCTGATAAGTTACACTTAGAATTAGACTCGCCCAAAATACTGGGATAAACCGAGCGCACCCAAATCCTTCGAGCTCAATAGAAATATTTCAAGATAAAATGAGTTCGTTTTTATGTTAATAAATGTAATTGTATGTCGTTTTGTTCGCCCTTGTTCACGTTTGAAGTTAAGGCATCACTAAACAAAGTAAAACGCGTGATTTGGTATTTAAATTTCATTTAGACTTTGCCAAAATCTGCACCCGCCGTTATTTCCGAAGAATTTGTTGCGGTTGAAATGTTCAGTTGTTATTGGGTCCTCTCTGTCCCATTTCCCCGTAAAACTCGGCCCTTAGATTTCGGGTAATTTTACACAGTACATATACTGATCTGCCATGGTGGGTTGAACATCCACGTGCGGGTTTCAGTATAAACTTTTACATTCGCAAATTTTGGTTTTTTACCTCGTAAAGTAAGGAAGCTTCTAAATTGTACTTACTCTTTACATTCAAACAGTAAGAAGACGTGTAATCAGTGTAACAAATTTTGATTGAATGAGCGTTCTGCATATGATAGAAATTAATTTCACGTTCTTCGCACGCCCACTTTGATAAATCACTAAATAGAGTAAAACACCCAAATTCGGTACAAATTTTGTAATCTTAAAATTATAAGCTACCAGAATATTAAATGGAAACCTACTTTACTATTCTGCGTATACGACTCAAATCACTAATTAGATTCAAGACATTCTTGCACATCCCAAACCGGGACTTTCCAAAAGCTTTTAATGAACCAAGCTTTTTTTTTGACGAATTATTTTCCCTAGATTTAGAAGTGACAAACAATAATGTCATTATAAGACGAACTTATTAGAGTGAGACGTACATTATGTAATGGGGAAACATCGTTAGACCGCCAATTTGAAATTGACTTCCAATTTCTAATAATCGCTACGAGTGAAAGTTGACAAAATTCGCCACCACTTCAGATTGCGGCAATAAAAAAGAGGTTATTAAAAGCTGTAACAATATGTACCACGCGTTCTTTTGTACGATGATGAATCTCGAAAAAGCACAACAGGACGTCAATACGTTCAAATAGGGGTGCGGGCTAATATAATTTACTTGATAATGTGTGCGTTATTGAGTGTTAAAGTGCACTTGTTTACTTTTATGCAATGATTCTACCACCATAGGTAGATGTTTAATTAAAAAAGCTCGATTAACGTAAATGAGAAAACATAAATATTCACTTAGTTACGACAGGAGGATAGGTGCAATAAACGAATTAATCACGAGAAGAGCAATAATAATCATATCACTTAGAGTGGCCCGGGTGTTTCCATGGTTATCTGGAAGTACACACTGGGCCGGTTGCAAACAGGGGGTGTTAAAGAAAACATTACCTATCTTTTTGTATTTATGATTGATTTTTTAAAGCACCCATCCGACAATGTCATCATTATAATAAATAATTTACCTTAGAATTGATTGGCATGTGTAATCCATTCCACTTTAGCGAGAGTTCCACTTAATTTATTGGCGAATTAGCACTAAAAATTTGGAGAAGAAATGCCCTTACGATGAATAATTATCACAAAACAAGTAACGGGTAATTTAAATGCACCGACTTTCCTTGTCAATTATCACGTAACCAAGCACATCAAAAAGAAGGATATTCAAATAAAATTGTGATAAAGATGTATTCTCGTTAGATGCATGGTGCAAAGTGACTTTAAATTAAAAAGATCGAGTCGGCTTCTATCAAGCTGTCGGAAACTTACTAGCTATTGGCCATCGGAAAGGAGAAGGGATACAGGTGACTCAGGTGTTTGTGAGAGATGCCGGATGGAAAATCCTGTTTGCCTGAGCGTGATGGAAACGAGCGTGTGCTAAACGTATAATATGTCATAAAAATGATACACTTTATTCCCCTAATAATGCATCCCAAATTGCGAAAATTCCGCAACCTTCCCCTTAATACGACGAACGTAGATGAAACAAGTCTTCTCCAAAATGCGGAGTTGGGGTGTTAACAAAACGCGTAGAGGACGATGTCGTATAAAGGTGTGCATTAAAAAAATCACGAGATATAACAATCGCCAGCGTGACAAAAATATACGAAACGGCCGCAAGAGATATCGGTTCATATTGGAATGCTATAAATGCAACGACGAATACGGCGAACATGACACGGTGTCTGTTTTTCCATTAAATGTCTACGTGTTAGTGTTTAACCATACACACCTAACTGTACATATCTTAAATTAATATCGTATTCACAATCAGTTTTGGAGACTTTTTTATTAGAGCCATCGCGCATAAGATTGTAAATACTCCTAAATACCCACTTGCATGTAATGGAAACGTGAAACATCAATTAGGTACCGATATACTATTAAAAACACCCCCGAGGTAAAAAAACTCAAAAGTAAACAACATTAAATCACAGCAAACTCGAACGCAATTAACTAAAAATTTAAGAAATCGGAAAGAAGAATGCGACAGGCAATTATTGGCAAGTACCAATTTCTAACGAGTCCTTCAAACGCATCACTCGTATAATTAAAAGAGTATTATAATGAAATTAATGAACATTATTTTCGGTGAAATTGGAAAAGAGGAAATTTCTAAATTACATTCGGACACCGCCAATACAAATCTAATTCTCCATTAGCTTTAGGTGTATATACGAAAAGCGCGCTCATTGTCCTAATGAGACTCCACGAAATTCAATGAAATACTTTTATGTCTAATGTGTAAATACCGATTAATACCTGTACGACAAAAGACTTTTAGATTACCTTAATTAAAGTTTATAAATTTCCAGTGGGTACTACTACGTAAAGCTTCCAATCACTCGAGATGCCAATCCGTGGATAATTGATTGCAATACGTAATTTAGGGACTGTATACATCTAAAAATGTATATTTACATATGAGGATACGTCCAACATGTGTACAAATTTAAGTCAACCGATATAGCAGAACGAAAGATCTTTAGTCGTTCCGTTGCAGTTAACCCTTCAATTCAATTGTGCCAAATAAAATTTTGGGTGGCAGAGGAGGATCAAATTAATGTTTTTCTGTCGTATGATTGTCAGGAAGAAACTCCCATCGGGGTCGTATCTCCTAAATGAAACACTTTGGACTTTCGATTTATTTGGAAAATAATTAAAAACCTCGCAACCACCCTGTTTTTGACTTACTGAATTGTTACGCAATGTACGAGTAAATAGGTCGTTGATTATAGAAAATTAAGGTTGTTTGAAGAGTGATTGAATCGCTTGATAGAATTCACAGACTGGGTAGTAAATATACCTCACTGGCAAAAAAAGCTTACAGTGTATTGTTTAGGGAGATGAAAGTTTATTCTACAGAAAGGGATGCTGGAGGGCAATTGTTTCTCAAAAAGAAATTATCATGTAATTTAAATTTTGTTTTGAAATTTACGCCATAGTTTCATCTGTTCGTCCGTGTGCACGTCAATTCTATCTATGTAGATCGTTCCGAACTTTGGTTATTTATAAATCATTTAAAAAAATGGTTTCGATTTTCCAATCGCTCGAATATTTCGAACTCTTCAATTTATTAACGGCTCATAACGAGTTCAAAATTTTGCGGTGTCCGCTCATTCCACGATATCTCGCAAACAAATCGACCGATTACGATGAAATTTTGCCAAATGGATTCTTTTGACCTTTTGAACATCTCCGTTAGTTATGAACCGAATTGCATGAAATTCAAAATGAGTATATGTATATTTAGCTATATAATACCGAATATGCAACGCCAAGGTACCTAGTACCTATAGTGTACCCAGGAACTCGTTTGGTGTGTATTTGTTTAATTTTTTCGGACTTTTCTGATCCTATAATGTCTTCTGGTTCGTCATATTTTTTTGTTTAGGATTCTTCTCTTTCGGATTCGCTTGATGCTTTAGCTCGTTCAAAATCATCAGACTCAAAATTCTCGTATTATTCCAAATCTTTCGTTACTTATAATTTTTTTAATTTTCTGATTTTTGAATATCTTGAAATTCTTCAGAAACATCATATCTTCAAGATTGTAAAGATTCTTTGGATTATTCATTTTCACCTTCTGTTCATGATTCTTGAATTATTCGAATTTTTTCCATTCCACAAATTCATCAGATCCCTAAAGCTCTTCACATTGTTATGATTCTGCGCAGTGCTCTATTTCTCGCAATCTACCGATCAACTAGAAGGACTAGGAACAAACGACTGACGGCATTGATTTCTACGTTAAAATAATGCTAAAGCCATTTTCTTCTAGCTTCAAAAATAAAAGAGTTACAGAAAATTGAAGGAATCGGCCATTTTTCTGTTTTTCTCTCTATGGAAAAAACAAAAGATGGCAGCTTATCTCTGGCAACGGTAATGAAATAGCCATCAAAAAGGAGGTCACGAGTATTTAAACCATTTTCGTTTATCTGCGCTAGTAAGAAAGTTACCCATCGAAATTGGACTGTACTGCACTGTACATAAAGTGATTACATGATGTCTATCAATACTCCGTTCTCAGGACATGAACTTTGAGAAGATGATGCCTTTGAGAGATACGTTTCATCTGAGTAGCACTACAACCACCACTTTCTCTTTGTGAATACCTTCTTCCAAGTTCTCGAAACATTCGCATCTCAAACCCATCACTTTCTCTATATGAATATCCTACTCCAAAGTTAACAACATGGCGTATACAGGCTGTTTCACGCAAACCGTTACCTAAAAGTATTTAGGCTCACATTGATAATTTACATCTGAAAATTTTCATATCAAAATAGTTTTTCATGATCAACCTCGAAAGAAAGTATTATCATGATGGTGCTTAACAGTAGTAAACCAAATATTCAAAATGAAACCCTTTCACCCAAGTAGCGGTACAGATCACCATTAGATTGTTCTCCGACGCCAACCGAAACAGAACGACATTATTTCCAGTAAACATTGTCTGAAAACTTTTGTGTTTTGTCAAAGCAATTTATTGTATCAGAGATTATCAAAAATGCACAACAAATTTACAAACCTAAAAGTTATGAACAGTGGCGTGCGTTTTTTACGTTTGTAGATTTCTTGCAAATTTTAAATAATTTTTAATATAACAAATTACTTTGACAAAACTAGCAAAAGATTAACGTTTTTTCAAATTAAACTAGTAAAATTAATTAACACAACTATTTTTCTTAATTTGAGATTTTCTCTTAAATTTTATTGTATAATAAAATTAATTTTTTATGCTACTATACCCAAAAAAATATACTCTCTCTAATAATATCTAATGAAAACTAGTACTTGCTATTAAAGAAAATATTCCCCCCTTGACCATGCAGAAGTATGCTACAAATTTAAAGCACGTAAATTGGTAGCTAATTTTTTATAATTTTGGGTACCATAAAAAGCTTCTTTAAAAAAAATGTTGTTTTGAAGATATATTTAGTGTTTCAGACAAAATTTTCACACGGTATTATCCCAATTTTCGATTCGTTACAATGTTCCAAACATTTCATGTCCAACGTAAACGTACTACACTTAGCTTCAACTCTTTTATTATTATATTATTTATTAAATGTCTTCCCGATAGGCAGTTATCGACATCGAAGCGACTACATATATTATTAACAAATAAATCATGAGAAATAAGTATTGAGTTTGTGGTGACCGAACAATTTTCTTTTTTTTAATGTTAACTTTTTGCAATAAACATAAAAACACTATTTCCGAAACAGTTGAAGATAAAATAAGAAAATTCGTATTGGTGACTGCTACATGACACACTGTGTATAAAAAGAAATGCGCACCATACCAATAGACGTGTTCGCGCGATTTTTTGAAGAGGTCCCCGTTTATTTTATTATCCAATTTTACTTCATTTGGATACGCACCATAAATATAGTATGCAAAAAAATTAATCGAAGAATTTAAAAAAGCGAGGGTGCAAAATGTTTCTGGAGGAATGTTTACATGATCTTGTTAAAACTTTTCAAAAGTTCTATTCCGAAATAGTATACATATGTATGTACAGTGCGAGTCAACGATTGCGCTGAGTAACTTAATGCGTTGAAGATAAGATTTTTCGATAGAGTGCTTTTGTATTATGATATGGTTGAATATTCTCCACATTTTAAAAATATTTGGAATTATACAGGGTGCGCTCATAAAGTAGGGCGCCAAAATGGTACATTGGTTTAAATAGAACCCCCTGTATTTGAATCGATTTTTTAATTCTACGTGTAATTGTACGTCTTTTTTATTATATGGTTAATATCCGAAAAACAAGTAGTTTTAAAGATAATTCGATTTTTAAGAAAAATTGGGCATTTGCAAGCGTCAGTATATTGTCAAAATTATTACTTAAATTTTGATTCCAGGTTTTATATCTTTTATTCTGGGTTAAGTAAAAGTCAAATAAATACATCTACTATAAAACATTAAAAAAATAGCTTACAGGGTGTTTTTTTCTACATCCAAAGTTACAAAACTTCATATTAAAAAATCTCACTTTTTTTAAGTAGAACACCCTGTATATTTTTCTGTCATCTTTTAGCTCCTCCAAAAACCTTCAACTTTTGATAATAATGGCCTATACCTATCTCTGATAGATTTCGAAATATCTTGGTTTTCCTGGTTTTTATATTCTAATCTTAAATAAGTTATCTGTAATTTACATAATAGTGAGGTGGCCATGCAAGAAAAGGCATTTTTATCTGCCTCGTTC